AACGGTTGACGGGCCGCCTGGCAGCCCTCAACCGCTTTCTATCTAAGTCAGTGGAGAAGTCTCTACCCTTCTTCCAGATCATGAGGAAGACGGCTGGCTTTCTATGGACTCCAGAATGCCAGGGGGCTTTCGACGAGCTCAAACGATATCTATCTTCACCCCCTGTGCTATCCAAACCAAAGGTAGGGGAAACCCTCTATCTCTACGTTGGGGTCAGCCCGGCGGCCATCAGCTCTGTGCTCATCCGGGAGGAAGACGGCATCCAACATGCCATCTTCTACGTTAGCAAGACTCTAAGGGAGGCCGAACTCAGGTACTCTCCCGTGGAGAAAACGGTGTTGGCCATCGTTTGGACCGTCAAGAAGTTGGGCCACTACTTTCAGGCTCACCCGGTTCAGGTCCTCACTCATCAACCCCTCGGCGCCCTCATGAGGAGCCCCACCAGCTCCTTCTGCATGGTGAAATGGGCTATCTTCTTGAGCCAGTACAACATTGACATTCGTCCAAGGCCTGCCATCAAGGGCCAAGCCCTGGCGGACTTTGTGACGGAGTGTACCGCAAGGGCAGCCACGGACGGGGAGCCCTCGGCCACCTCGGACGACTGGTGGACCCTCTACACCGACGGCTCCTCCGCGACCAAAGCATGCGGGGGAGGGGTAGTCCTCATTACTCCCGAGGGCTTCAGAGCCTACTATGCAATCCGCTTCTCCTTCAAAGTCTCCAACAACGAGGCCGAATATGAGGCCCTCCTATGTGGCCTTCGGCTGGCTGCCAACATGAGGGCTCGGCAGATCCACATCAAATGCGACTCCAAGTTGGTCGTTGGCCAAATCTCCGAGGAATATGAGGCCAAGGAGGGAATAATGAAACAATACAAGGAAGCGGCCAAGGAGTTGCTTAAGGTATTTGAGGCACACTCTCTCACTCAAATACCGAGGGCTCGGAACTCCGAGGCCGACATATTTTCTAAGCTCTCGGCCGACTCCCCTGAGCACATCTCCAAAATTGCCAAAATTGAGGAACTCAGCCTCTCAAGCATCCATGCAAGCCCCGTTATGAACATACAACAACGCCAAGAGGATTGGATCTCAGATATCACCGCCTTCATCTCCACAGGGCAGCTACCCGAGAATGAGACCCGTGCTAAACTGGTGAAGCTGAGGGCTCCTAGCTACACCATTGAAGATGGAAGGCTCTACAAACGATCTTACAATGGCACGCTACTTCGATGCCTTCATCAAGATGAGGCCGAGGTCGCAATGGAGGAAATGCACAGTGGCACTTGCTCAGCTCACCAGGGACCCTTCTCCATGTCCCGAAGGCTCATCCTCCAGGGCTACTTCTGGCCAACCATGGCCAGAGATTGTGCTGACCTTGCCCGGAGGTGTACCGCGTGTCAACATTTCCAGAAAGCCCCCAGCAGGCTAGCGGTCAACTATGCCCCCATCAGCACATCTGTCCCTTTTTCTCGATGGGGGATAGACCTTGTGGGCCCTCTGCCGAGGGGGTACCTCCAACAACAGGTACATCATTGTGGCCATCGACTACTTTACCAAGTGGGTGGAGGCTGAGCCCCTCGCCAGTATCACAGAGGCGAAGTGCCATCATTTTGTCCTCAAGAACATCCTCACAAGGTTTGGCGTCCCCCAGCAGATCATCTCCGACAATGGGACACAATTTGAGGCAGCCCCCTTCTGTGCCCTTCTGGAGGCATGGGGCATCAAACACACCTTCTCCTCCGTTGCCTACCCTCAAGGCAACGGGAAAGTAGAGAATGCCAACCGGACCTTGCTCGAGGGCCTCAAAAAGAAGCTGGAGGCCGAGGGCGGTGGCTGGGTGGAAGAACTCCACAACATCCTGTGGGCCTACCGCACCACCCCTCGGCGAGCAACAGGTGAAACACCCTTCTCCCTCTGCTACGGTTTTGAAGCCAAAGCTCCTACGGAAGTCACCCTTCCCACCCGAAGGGTGATACAATATGACCCCGAGGTCAACGACAGCAACATGGCCCTCGACCTCCACCTCATTTCAGAACGCCGGGAGCAGGCCTTCATCCGGGCAGAAAATTACCAAAGGCAAGTCAAAAGCTACATCAACGCCAAAGTTCGCACCAGAGAATTCCAAGTGGGGGACTATATCCTCCGGAGGAGGGAAGCCAGCCAACCAACCGAGGGAGGAAAAATGGCACCAAAATTCGAAGGCCCCTACATCATAACAGCCATCATCAAACCTGGGACTTACAAGCTAAAACGCCCCAACGGGGAAGAGGTCCCTAGACACTGGAATGTACACCATTTAGTTAAATTTTACCAATAATGTAAGAGCGGCCAAGCCCTCATAACTAATGAATGTACTACCCTTTGGCCCAAGGCCTCCACCTTTGAGGAATGAAGACACATTCAAGACACCACACCCTCATACTACAAGAACAACCCCCTCCGGCACCAAATGCCGAGGGCGGACACCATCAACACCTACAACAACAGGAGAACACCATGTGTTCTCGGACAAGACCCCTCGGTACCAAGTACCAGGGGAGGGAACTCCTATCACCAACAACAAAGAACACCAAGTGTTCCTACAGAAGACCCTTCGGCACCAGTGCCGAGGGTACACCTCCATCATCAAACATCGAAACGAAGAAAAACACCAAATGTTTCAAAGAAGACCCCTCGGCACCCAGTGCCAGGGATATGCTCTCCTATCAGCTTCCAAACATCTGTTGGGAAACACCAAGTGTTTCCTCCGAGGTCCCCTCCGGCACCAAACACTACAATCAGAACACCAAGTGTTCCTACAGAAGACCCCTCGGTACCAAGTACCGGGGGGCTACACATCGAAACTAACACCAAGTGTTGTTTCTAAAAGCCGTACCCCGCGAGGAAGCATATACCGAAGGCGCCACCATCGATGCCGGCGGCACGTAGTGCCCCCGACCATTTGCAACTAGTGTGCAAAACAAAACCCTTCCTTGAAACGCTTTCCGCGTCACTACCCCCAGGGTATGACAGGCATGAGAAATGCCCAGGATTCGACTTTCAAAAACGGAACGCTATCCGCGTCATCACCCCAAGGGTATGACATGCACGAGAAATGCCCAGGATTCGACTTCCAAACCGAAACGCTCCCCGCGCCACCACCCCAAGGGTGCGGCAGGCCACGGACTATGTCTAGCGCCGAGGGGACGAATTTCAAAAATGAGGCGCTTTCCGCGCCATCCCCCAAGGGGAGGCAGGTTACAGACCACCATATCTTGTGCCCAGGAAACGACCCTCGATCCCCTCGGAACTCGGAAGGTTAACCCGAGGGAGGAGAGCCATTGGTGTATTCTGATGGTCTCCTAATAGGCCCAGCCTTACCAAGAAACCAAGTTTCTTGATGCCTTCCCTTCACCACCAACCAAAAAAAAAACAAAAAAAAGGGGTGAAGGGGAGCAGACTCAGCGAGAAATCAAAGAGTACACTCCAACAGATCACAACATGCCGAGGGCTCCCCACGGGAACACCTCCGGTAATTGAAGGCTCCTATTTCCCGAAGGATACTACTCAAACAAATATCATCAAGAAACGGCTAAGTCCACTGCCTGGTCACCTCCGGTCACACAAGCACTGAAGGCTTCAACAATACCAAGGGACAGGACTATCCAAAGCCCACTAAACGGTACTTCAAACTCTACAACTCTTCAGAGTGTATGCAGAGGGCACACACTCATCATTGGCTTTCTTCACAACAACAGGATTCCACACTTTTCCTAAGTCCACATTTTTGAAAAATGACGGCAACCGGAGGCTAATATATCACCAGACAACCGAAGGCATATATTACAAAATCATCAAAAATGAACCGAGGGGGACTATTCCAAAATATTTGCCCCTCGGACAGACTCCACACGGACCGAAGGTTCAACATCTACGACACTGTGAAATTTTGCTTAGCCCCACATATTTGGCCCTCGGCCAAAGACTCATACAACACAAGGGCCTCACGATCACCCGAAGGGTCCTATTCATATACCCGGAGGGATCTACATCCGGAAGCTCAACATCAATTTACGCTTAGAAAATATTCTAAGTCCTAAATGAGTAACCCCCGGGCATCTCGCAATAGCGATGCAGAGTCAGAGGGCACCTATCACCCGAAGGCGGCACAAGGAAGCAGCACTTGGAAAAAATCCTAAGTCCTAAAGATTGGACCCCCGGCTCAATCAATATTACAGCTAAATGAATATGATAGCCGAAGGCTGTACATCAAGAAGGGATGCCATATCCCGAAGGCTCCCTAGGGAAAATCTACACTTAGAAGATTTTCTAAGTCCTACATATTTTTCCCCCGGTCAACTACTCATACATCAAGAAGGGATGCCATCTCCCGAAGGCTCCCAAGGGAAGATCTGCACTTAGAAATCTTTCTAAGTCCTACATATTTCACCCTCATCTCAAGGGACCTAATAGCTGAAGGCTACCTATCAATCGAAGGCTACAATACACAAGGAATCAACACTGAGGAAAATTTTCTAAGTCCTAAAGAATTGGCCCCCGGCCTAATCAATATTTCAGTTGGGGCTCCACAGTAGCCGAAGGCTACGTGACATACTACACTTGCAAAAAATTTCTAAGTCCTGTACATTGGGCCCTCGGTCCAATATTCACACATCAGGAAGGAGGCTACCAGCCGAGGGCATCCGAGGGCAAAACTAGACCTGGAAATTTTTCTAAGTCCTAGGAATTGGGTTCTCAACCCAATCACCGCACAACAATGGAACTACAAACACCCGAAGGCCCTATGGTGTGTTACACTTAGGAAAATTTTCTAAGTCCTGATTATTGCTGAACCCTCGGTTGTACATCCAGCAGAGGGTGCCCAACTACCGAAGGCTCCCAAGGGCAAGCTATAATCAGAAAATATTCTAAGTCCTAGACATACATTCAAAAATACCGAAGGCATACACTCAAGGAAAACGAAGGCATACATTCAAGAGGAAAGGAATTAGAGGAAAACAAGCCATATATACGAGCCCGAAGGCAGACATCCATCATTCATCACAAAAGAGAGTAAATGTAATTATTACAAATGGTGGCCGAGGCCGAAAACATGCTAACGTGGCTATTACAAAGAAGTGTTCAAAATGCTAAATACAAATTACACATCAAATGACGTCATTCTCGGGGGCCGCCTCCCCCGATGGCTTCGAGGTGACCTCTACATCGGCCTCAGGTACGTCACCATCGGCTTCCCTCCGGAGCTCAGAATCCTCCAGGTCTGGCCTCTCGACATCGGGGGGGAGAGGAACACGGATGTCTGGCTGCAGGGGGGAGCCCGTACGCCGCCGGGTCAAAGTCCTTCGGTTCAATCTTCAGATGGCGGGCCATCCTCCGGTAGATGAGGGCTTGAGTGAAAAACTCACCCCATCATAATACTGCTTACCCTTTCGGGCCATCCATTCCTCGCCCGGGCCCTCGCACCAATCATCAACCGAGGCCTCCACAACCGAGGACAGCCATGCCTTGTGCCCATCGGTCTTCCACCCCCCGTCCAGGAACCCGGAGATGGCCTCCTCCCGGGCTGTGGCGACAGCCTTCGCCCTGATGGCCTCGGCCTCCTCGGCAGCTCTCCTTGCGGCCTCCGCAGCGGCCTCCTCAGCTTTTGCCCTCTCCTCCCTGAGCCTCCCGGCCTCCGCTCTCGCAAGCTGGAGGTCCTCTTCAAGCTGGGCCATCAGCTTCGTGGTCTGGGAGTCCCTGAGGATTAGCTCCTTCATCTTGGCGTCTTGCCCAGCTTTGTGGAGGCGCCAATCCTCTAGCCGTCGGAACTGCTCTCCGAGGGCAACGCAAGTCTGCAAAAATAAATGAGTTGTCAGGGCGGAACGTGATGTCCTAGTTCAAAGTAGGAAGGAGGAAGACAAACTGTCATAAGCTTACCGTGAGGGAAGACCGGAGGATCCTGTCTTCGAGGGCTTGGTCGTCATCGGCCCCGAGAGCTGCCCTGTCGATATCGAGGGTTATACCTCTCAGGAGCGCCCTCGGGTCAGCCGTGCCATTCAACACGGCCGTGCCAGCCGGGAGGGAGAGCGTGAGGACCTCGAGAGATGGCTCCCGGGCACCCCTCGACACCTGCGCCATCGGCATCTCCGGAGGGTCATCTACAATCACCACCGGGGGGTCATCCTTCGCGGCGTCCCCCTTCTTCGATTTCTTGGGGGCCTGGGGGGGCTCCTTTGCCGACGGCTTCCTCTTCGCCGCAGCAGCATCACCCCCGGGCTTCTTGGGAGGCGCACCGACGGGCTTTTGGCCGCCAGCGTCCGGCCCCTTCGGATCCTTGGCCGGTTTGTTCTTGAGTCGGGCGAGGCCTTTGACGTTCATCATGTTTACTGGAATACCTGCAAAACAATGAGGGGTTAGGATCGAGGGGTCACTAATAAGTGGCATAAAAGAATAAACGACGCAAGTAAATAACGTGCTAAGATATGAGGGTGAGAATGCCCTCAGCCACTACCTCCGGAGGCTCCCTCAAACACTGGGAACTTCTCGTCTGTTTCCCCCAGGAACCGGTACCGCCGGAACCCGAGGGTGTAGAGATCTGCTTCCTTGGTGCACTCCTTGATGGTGATATTCTTGTCCCGGCCCTCCAGGATCATGGCCAGAATCCTGCCATCTTTCTCGAGGGCGGCGCTCCTCCTCTTCTCGTGCCTCCTGAAGCGGTCACGTAGCTCCATCGGGAAGGGGCTCTCGGCTAACTTCACATAGCACCACCGGTCCTTCCACCCCTTGTTCGAGGAGGGCGCCTCAGTGAAGAGTTTGAACATGGACACCTGCTGCAAATTGGCGAATCCCTCGGCATTCGCGTGCCCCCCCCCCCCCCCGGCACAAGTTGAAGCTCTGGAAGAAGAGGTCCAGGCTAGGCGTCGCCCCCCGAGACTTGCAGAGCTGGAGGAAGCCAGTAATGTAAGAATGGCTGTTCGGGGTCAGCTGGCAGGGAACCAGACCCACGAACCGAAGGTACTCCCGGAGGAAGGGGTGCAGGGGGAAGCGGAGCCCCATGGATACCGAGAGAACGTGCACCGCAATGCAGCCCTCGGGGGCCCGGGAGAGGACGTCATCCGGACCCGGTGTCACCACGATGGACGAGGGGCCCACGTGAAGCTGGGTGACATGGATGTCCGCCGCATCAACCTTCGACTTGATCTCCAATGCGGCGGTGTTGAGATAGGAGTACCCCTCGGGCATATCGAGGGGCTTCCCTTGGTCTGCTACGTTGCCCTTCTTCTTGGGAGCAGCGGTCTTGGCCTTCTTCTTTCCGGGGGCCACCCGGATGGGGACCGCATTCAGCGGCCGAGAGGTGCTGGCCTAACCGGCACCCCGAGGGGGAGCACAGCAACGGTGACCCTCGCGCTTTCTCTTTGTGCCTCCTCTTCAGCTGCTTGCCAGGCGAGGGCCAACTCTTCGTCCTCACATTCTTGCTCGAAGCCCTCGGCTTCCGCCTCAGCTACGAGGGCTTTCTGCAACTCCAGGGCAACGACGGCATCCTGTCCCACCGAAGACTCTGCACTTGAGGACTCCACGTCCGAGAGGACTTCATCCTCCATCGAGGGCGCCCCCGAGATATCTTGAGAATCACTCTGGGACGACATTCTGACTCTAGTTCGAAGGCTCGTAGACGCTAGTGTTTTCTAAATATTCTATCTCCTAGCCTAAGGGCACAATACAGGTAGCTAAGAGGTGAAGGGCAAGTGGAGAACTGACCTTAAGAACAGAGGATTACACCGAGGGCTGCTGTTTCTCTCTCTAGAAAAATTGGCAGAGCTTCGCTAACAAGGTTTTCGCACACGGAGGAATGCCTGGCCTTGGGGTATTTATAGGCGCTGGAATCCGGGCTTGGGCCCGGAAACCGGGCCTCCGGACGGACCGTCATCATTACGCACCGTGTTTTCACCCAACCGGTGACGCCGCCCACGGGCAGCCAACCGTCACGCGCCACGTGTACCCCCCAACGGCTATATCCCGACGTTACATATTCCAACGGCTATATTTCCAACGGCTATATTCTGGAAGCCCCCGGGTTTTTCTACTTCACTCCACTTCGGCAAGGAGAGCCTCCGGGTACACTTACCCAGAGACGCCCCCGGGTTGTGCCCCACACAGCACATAACAGACGCCTTCCAGATCACTCCTTCAGAAACCCAGGGCTTCATATCAGGGCACCCCTCGGGGATTCCCCCTCAGCACTGCAAAACCGGGTAGCCCCCGGGGAGTTGCCTCATTGACGGATAACCCATGGCACACAGGTAATGGGAGCCCTCGGGTATCTTCATCACCAACTAATCAACAAACAGTGGACCCCCCGGTAACAACTCCACTGCTGCCCTCATCCAGCAGGCCCTCGATCCCCGGATTGAGGGGCTCCCCTTCGGCACCCCCAGGACATCAACAGCAAGCCTTCGGCTAATCAACACATGAGCCCTCAGAAAAAGAAGAGCCTTCGGCATTACCGTTATTCTCCATTTTTGACCAAGGTTTGACATTTTCGATTCATCATTGGGGGAATCCGGTGCACTCTTTTTCTCTCATTAGGATTTTTTCCCACAGGGTTTTTTCTAATGAGGTTTTTAACGAGGCATCCCCCCAAAATGAAACGAAAAGCGTCAGCCTTCGGCCCACAACAACAACGCAACTACTCTACTCCTTTTTACCACTTTACAAGTGCCTCAAGGAGTGGGGGACTGGAGGACCCCCTCGGGAAAATCATTAAATTACAAAATTAGTAAAATTCCAACAAACGACAAATCAAGCCCTCAAGTCCCGACATGTGGGTAAATGAGGGACTGCCTTCGGCAGGGACATAAAAGCAACAACTCCTCACCAACTTCAGAGATCACGACAGGACAACGTCAAAGGGCAAGCACAGATTACTCCTTTTCCCTCAAATACCTTTCGGCAAAAGGAGTGAGGGACTCCTGATGGAGTATATGGCCCGGGAACACCCGACCCACAGACTCCTACTACACCAATGAAGGCCCAACAGGCCCAGGAGGCCCACCAGGCCCAAATCACGGCGCCCAGAGTACCAAGCAGCCCGCAATACGCACCAGGGGTGCCCTCGCCCCCCTGGCCGAAGGCTCTAAACTCTCACAGAATGGGTTTTCCGGGCAAACTAAGAAACTGGGAGAAAACGGCGAAAAAGTAGCCCTCGACACCTGGAGCCCTCGGCACTCAGGGGTCCTCGGCACTAAGAGCCCTCGGCTAGTCCTCTGCAGCCGAGGGGACCTCTTCCGACATGATATCCGCCTCACATGCGTACAGATCACCGTACCCTGTACAGACGTCCCATCCAACAGCCGCATTAAATGCGGCCACATGCGGCTGCCAACGCCAACCAATTGAGGTGACCCCTCGGCCAATAGGCGCTTGACACGTGTCCCTGCCCGACATTTATTGCTACTATAAATAGCACCCCATTTCCCCATTTGTAACCACGCTGAAAACGCCCCGCATTTATAATACACTCTCTCTCTCTACATTTACTTGCTCTGACTTCTCTCTAAGTTATTCCCAGCAATAACCCCTCGGATAAGCTACCCCCCGGGTACACGATCCATCAACTATGTTGGTTACGCTAACCTCCAACAGCTGCCGAAGAAGAGGAGTTTCACTGACCTCCCTTCGTCTATTCATGGATGGAAGAGCAAGTTCGTCTTCGTGTCCTTGGGTGAGGACGGTACGGAGTTTCCTTCAGTTGGTCAAGACGGTAAGTTCACCCTGCATGACGTGCCGAAGAGCAGTATTTTGGATGCCCGGGTAGCGGCGTTTCTGAAGGGCGGGCCGAGGAGCGTGAAACATTACATCACGGAATACAAGATGACCGCCCTCGGCTTCATGAGGTATCATGTTTATGGTGACAAGGAAGGTGATATCGAGTTGTGGCCGAAGATGACCACCACCTTTGAGGAGGCCGACGACCTAGATATGGGCATTCCTGCTGATGCCGATGGTAATACCTTCCCTGGCGTCTTCGTCTATGTTTTCTTTTGTTTTTGCTAACTGTTTGTTTCCCTTGTTGTGCAGACTTCGCTATGGATCGTAGATCCGTCATGGCCCTAGCCAAAGCTAAGGCGAAGGAGGAAATGGCCGCAAAGATGGCCGCTGCGGGCGGCGTTCAACCAAGCTCTGATGCGGCGAAGAAACCGCCAACGTAGCCGAAGAAGAAGCGGCCTGCCGATGACGGCCAGAAAAAACTTATCGAGGCCGGTATGCAATCCAAGAAGCCGAAGAGGGCTTCTCCTCTGGCGGATGCTGGTGCCGGGGGTGTGGCCATACCAGATGATGATGCCGGGGGCTCAAATGCCATTGCCGTTGTGGACGCGGTTTCGGTCCCCTCTTCGGCGATCCTATCTCAGCCGCCCCCTATCGGCCAAGAGCCCCGTAAGCAAAGGACCGACAAGGAGCTGGCCGGTGGAACTTACAAGCTCGAGATCGAGTATCCCGTGAAGGGTGGCGTCTTCAATGACGCCAGTGACGGCCATGATGTCCTGGCCCAGGCTATCCCGATCGAGGATCGGGCTTATCTGAAGAAGCTGGGCCCCGTCAGGATTTACGATGGCGGTATGGACCTCATCGTCCAAGTAAGTTCCTCATACTTTACGTCTTTTGTGTCATGGGTCTTGCATCGTCTTAATTCTTCATTTCTCCTTTTTTTTGTTACAGGGCGCTCTCATGCTGATGGAGAGCCACAAACGGCAGGAGCAGGAGATTGCCCGCCTAAAGGAAGCCGAGAAGAAAGCTGCTTCGGCCGAGGAGGCCATGGCCTGCCTGGATCGGCTTCGGGAGGAAGTGAAGGCCCTTCAGAAGGGTGTTGATGAGGTCGATGTGGCCTACCGGCAGGTAGCGGCTGACCGGGATGACGCTGTGAGGGCTAGGGATGAAACCCTACGAAGCCGTGATGAGGCCCTACTCCGGGCCGAGGACGCCGCAAGGGCTCAGGCTGATTCTGAAAGGGCCGCTGAGAAGGCCTTTGACGGCGCCATCGAGAGGTTCCTGGCCGAAGGCTGGAAAGCCGATGACCACCGGCCCTGGTGCTATGAAGTCGTGGCGGATCGGCTCGAAGATTGGGGCCAGAACTGCCCTGCTGGCCAAGAGTACTTTGCTCGTGAGATGGCCGTCTACTACGACATGGGTCAGCAGAGGATGCAGCGGCTGATATACCGGAGGCTGCACCGGGCGTTCAAGAAGCTTAAGCTCACCCAGAAGTGGGCTAAGAAGAACCTGAAGCTTCCACGGCTGATGAGGGATCCCGAGGCCGAAGCGAAACTCCCCCCATCTGAGAGGCAGGATCTAGTGCTCAGCTCTTCAATTGGTTCGCCTGTCTATTCCGACGATGACACTA